CAGGCTGAGAGCTGTGGAAGCTCTGGGGAGGCTGCATGGAGGCGGGGCTTCTGGGAAGGGCACTGTGGGGCGTTATCTCATTAGGGGGATGCTTATTCCTCCCTCTCCCTAGCATGGCTTTCACCACTTCCTGTGGGCTGGCCTCTTAGCTGGATTGACAGGCCCAGGTGGACTGACTTTTAAGGGAGGAGACAATGTCTTTGGAGCAGATCAGAAGATCATCTCATCAGGTCCAGAGACTGATTCCATTCTTTTTATAGGGAAGAAACGGCTTCCCTTTAATGGCCCTCCACAGAGCCCGGATGTCCTTAGTGGCCTCTAAGACTACTGTAACATTGAATTAAAACTCTGAAATCTTTCAGGAGATGGGCTGAAACTGTGCAACCGGGAATAGTTATCTCATTCCCATCATGCAAACTTAGAGCAGTTCCAAAGCTGTCCAGAGGGGTTTAGTGCCTGGACTGGAGTTTGGGTCACACTTTGGATACAGCCTTCAGACAGGGTAGCTCACTTTTGAGAAGCTGGATAAGGAATCTGAGCCCTTTTCTGACTTACCTGGCCTCCAGCCAGGATAAAACCAAGACATTATAAGAATTAGAATTGTTCATGTTCTGAGTCCTTGCCCTAAATCTTCTTAACCACCTTCTATCTCTTAGTCTCATCCCCATGGCCTGTCAGTGTCCAAGGATGCTGAATCTTAGGGTATCTTTTCCCCAGGAGGGTGGTGTGCACCTGCTGAAGGTGGGCCACACCCCAGAGACCCGGAGGGGAGTCGAGAACCTCAAATGAAGTCTGTCTACTGAGAACTGTGTTCCTAATGATCAGTAGAGACAAACAGCTCAAGAATTCACTTATCCTGACTCCTTTTTCTTCAGACAGTCTTGCTATATAGCTTGGGCTAACCTTGAACTCATAACCCTCCTAGATCAGACTTTGGAGTGTAGGGATTCTAGATGTGAGGCACCTTGCCTATGTTAGTAAATCCTTGATGAGGGTAAAAATGGGAATTCAGAGGTCTTTTTGGCCTTTTCTGGATGACAAGAGGACAATTGGAATCTTATCCAAGTCACAGGGACAGCGTAGTTCTTTGTAGTAAGCCATGTCTCAGTCCTGAAGAGGCAGAGTGTGGGATGTGAGTTCTTAACTGTTGCTTTTCTCAAGGACACAAGCCACAGGTAGCATTCAGCCTACCCACCCCCCAGTTTCACAGTCCCCTCGCTGAGAGCGGCAGATCCTGCTATTTTTAGCACTAACCTTGAGGGGTGGGGCAAGGGGCTGCCATCTTTAACAGGCCTTTCCATATGATATGAGGTGCTGGCAATGTGCTGGTCAACCTTACGTTCAACGGCTCTAGCTTGTAAGCTTTTTGTTACACGTACCCTGTCAGCCAACTTGCCCAACATGGATGAGTTCTTGGAATATTTGGGCTATTCTTGTAAAAATGTTTAACTGCTTCTGTTGGTCTTACAAGATAATGGTTCTGATTCTGTACAAAAATGCTTGTTTACTCAGGCTGACCGAGGCATCTGAGAGGCATGTGTTAGAAAAGTTAAGCTCTGCCTGCACGTAGGCAGAATGTGTGCTAACTCAAACCCCAAACTCTAACCTTGTGGCTTTTGCCTTTATAAACCCCAGACTTAACTATAGCTGAGGACACACTTGGAGAATCCCGAGTCTCGGGTGTGGTGCTGGCCAGTGTCTAATAAAGCCTCTTCTTTGTTAAGATTTACTCAGTGTCAGGACTGGAGAATCTTTGAACGACCCCAGGTCCATCACATCTGGAGGTACCACTGAGTTCTGGGTGTTCAGCTTGATTCGCCTTTTTCTTGGCCTTGGTGGGCTCCCAGTGTCCTGGGAGCCAGGACTTTGCCCAGGCTTGGCAGCATTTGGAGGAAGCCTCAACACCTAGATCCCTTGGGACTCCTAAGGTCTCTGGCCTACTGGAAGTTGAGAAATTTGGAAGAGCCTAACATTTGGAGGAGGCCACTGACAGGTTCTCAACACCTGGATTGTAGGAGGCATCGGAAGCCCTCGTGGAGGTAAGCTCTGTTTGTAGCATGCATCTTTCTGGGGCACTCGGGAGAGCTGGCCACAGTGTTAGTTCCCGAGTAGGAGGGATACTTCTGGCCCTGGGTGCTTGGTTCTAGAGGAAGAAGAAGGATTCCCAGAAGCAGGGGTTGCCGCCAACTCAGAGAACACTGTCTGTTTTGTGTTGTGTGGGTTGCTCTTTGTGTCACTTCTTGTTCTTGAAGAAACTGAAAAGATGGGGCAAAACCATCTTCCACACAGAAAAACTCCTGAGATCTGACAAAGTCTCACTTTAAGGGCTCCCAGAGAAAAGCCCAGGATCTGGAGAACAGGTCTGTACTGGAAAACTAACTGCCTTTTGCTGCCTTGATTGGCCTTCATTTCAGGTGGGCTGGCCAGCCAAGGGCTCCTGAAAACTTTCTCTTGTTTACAGACGGCAGCATGTGTCTTTAGCAAACCAAGGACACCCCGACCAACTCCTCCACATTCTGACCTGGAGCTTCCTGGTAGAGGAATTTCCATCTGGATGAGAAAGTAACAGCTAAACCATTGCCCTAATGCTACCATTTTTTTTTTTTTTTTAAATTTTGGTTTCAGAAGAAATAAATAAGACCAAAGGGCAGGACAAATTTCAGCCTCCCCCAGAAGAAGATGTGGCACCACCATGGTGGCCCTGGCACCAGTAAGGCAGAGCTCTGCCACCAGGCACTGCCAGCCTCTATCACCCCCCTATACCCATCCCCCAGCCGCCAGGTCATCTCCCTACGTTTCTGGGGCACCTACCAGGGAGAGAATTCAGAGGCCAGAGGTACTCTTGGGTCCTGACCCCAGTCTCCCGGTTTTTCTCTGACTCTCACTCCCAACCCTCCTCCTCCTCCTCACCTTCAGAGTCCTCATCCCTGCCTGCTCTCACTGAGGTTGTGATAGACCACGCATCCTGCCACCCCTAGAATGCCTGCTGCAAGGCGTTTCATTGGTGCCACTCAATGATATGCTTCCCCTTGAGAGAGACCACCACATGGGCCACACAGGATGAAGAAGGCGGGAGGCGCCAACAAACAAACAACAAACAAACAAACAAACAAACACCAAAGCTTAATCTCTGCTAGAATGGTGTCTTATACACAGCAACCTACTTGGGTGGCTGCTTCAAACCCTTGTCACCACAGAGGAGAGGGAGGAAGTCAGGTGAAAGCCCAAAGCCAGGTCTTGGGAAATGTTGGGAGACCCGCTACTGATCTGATAATTGAAGACTTTTTTCTTTCCTGACAACCAGCTTGGGACTGGAATTCCTGTAAAGGTAGGAAGTTTCTTAACCTCTTTAGTCAGGCTGTTGTTAAGTCTCCAGGCTGCAGCTAAACACCACACAAATTTGCCTAAGGTAGGTCAGATTACTCAGGGTCAGAGGAGCTGCCACCTGCTCTTCTGGAGTGCCTCCTAGAAGCTTACTGAATTTATATCCCGAAGGACGAGGAGCTCCAGAAAACCAGAGGGCTATTGATACAGCCTTGTTTCTCAATCAGCATCAAGTACTAGGAGAAGGACTGAGAAGATAGAGAGCTTTGAAGGAAAGGTACCGTCAAATCTGGTGGAGATTGTTGCCTCCCAGGTGTCCAGTGAGGACACACCAGAGGGAAGGAAGGCAGTGAAGCTAGCTAAGAGTGTGATGGCTGCTTGCCAGGGAGAAGGACCTCAGCATCCAAGGTTTATGAAAGAAGAACAAAAGCTGAGGGAAACGGATGCTGGGAGAGGCTGTCCCTTAAAGGAAGGACAATGTGCCTATTGTAAAAACAAACAAACAAACAAACAAACAAACAAACAACAGACACTGGAGAAACAAGTGTCCTAAACAAAAGCAAAGGCCTGTGCCCGTGCTCCAGCTAGATACAGACTGATGGGTTGGCTCAGCTACTGCACCTCCTCCTCACCATCCCAAACCAAAGATTTCTCCAAGAAGCGGCTGTGCTTCTCATCAGTTTTCCTGTGGGTATGGGAGCCACTTACTCGGCTTTAAAGCAGGCAGGCAGGCCAATAGGTAAGAAACAGAGTGTAACACAAGCTGCTGTTCTTGGATCACCAAAAATAACTGTGGAGCTGGGAAAGGGAACCATCACCCGCTCTTGCTTAGTCATGCCTGAGTGCCTGTTTTCTCTGTAGGGACATGACCTGCTCCACAAACTAACGGCAGAAACACATTTCATAAAGGATGAGATAATGATACCTAGGTTTGGACTGCCATTGTTCATAGGATCAGATAACAGACCAGCCTTTCTACCTGAGGTTACTGAGATCAGTTCTGTTCTGGGGGTCCCTTTTTGAAATGATCTGTAGTGTAAACCTGTAATGTAAATGTGAATCTGGTGAATCACATTGCACTTACCATCCACAAAGTTCAGGACAGGTGGAGAGGATAAAGCAGACCTCTCAAAAGACTAAGCCTGCCGTGGTGCCGCATGCCTTGGGAGGCAGAGGCAGGCAGATCTAAACCCTGTATCAAAAAAACAAAACAAAACAAAACAAAAGGCCTTAACTAAATTAACCTTGGAGTTGGAGACTGGCGAAGGGTGGAGGATGAGTGGGGCGCCTTTCCTTGCCCTTCTTAGGTCTTGATGTACTCCTCATGCAGGTTTAACCCTAACTGGAATTCAAACCATCATTGCTTCCATCTGCACAGGTTCTGCCGCTGACTCAGGACTTTGTGGCCTTCTCAGTTAAGGCTGCTTCTGGCATCCACTGCCTCATCCACACTCCTTGGTTGAGTCAGGAGATAGGGTGTGGATCAAGAGTCACCAAGCTGAGACATAGAAGGGACCTCACCTCCTCATCCTGACCACCCCCACTGCTGTCAGAGTGGACAGTCTGTACTTGGGCACATCACTCTGAGATCAAGTGTGCCACTGGGAACAAGACCCAGCTAAAGAAAAGCAGACTGTCACCAACGCCTGAGAAGATCCACCGAAGATAAAAGTAATATGGGTTTTAACATAATGATGTTGTTTTGCCTGGCTGTATTTCCTTCTGTTCTTTCCCTGAATCTGAATAGGATTCCCCAGGCCCCTAAACCGACCAAACCAACCCCCATGGCATGGAAGTTCCATGTAATTGCCCTAGAAAATTGCAACAAGACCATTGCCTCTACCTTCTGTCCAGTGACAGGATGTGCCAGCACTATCAGCCTCACCTTTGATATAAGGGACACCTGCATAGGGAAATGTATAAATGACCTCTACAATGCTATGACCTCTCCTATATATGTTTGCTTCCTATATGAACAAACTCGCTCAGAATGTAAGGACCCAAATTATGGAGGATGTCCTTACTGGAGCTGCAAATATCATAGCACTTGGCCCAGCTGGGGAGGAGAAAACCCATCCAGACTGAACTCGGTTGATTGGCATACTAGGGTCACCTACTCTATCCCTGACCCCTGGAATGACAGATGGAGAACAGGGGTCGAGGGTTATGTCTATAGACATAACGAGAGGGATACAGCCTATGATGGGAAAACTAAGATATTCATCTTTAGAAAGTTAGCCAAGTTTATACATCCAAATTCCTTAATTTGAACGCTATAACCAAACCTGCTACCGTACCAGCTCCTGGTCCTGTTGGTCAGCTCACCTGCTGACATCATTTTCTGCCATCACCACCTTTTTCTCTCCTCCCTCCTACTAGCCCTGCGTCTCCAACCTCCTTGAGTTCCTAATGAGCATGTTACTATCTATACTTGCTCACGAGTATTACTAACCCAAATGTGATACCCGGCTGTTGGTTCCGAGCCTTCCAAAGCCCCCACACTGTGTAGGACTCACTGTCAGAAGAACCCATTTGGCCACTCCCTCTGCCAATTGTTCATGGGAGTTTTTCACCGAATTCAAGGTGAGGAAACTTGTTTCTACTCAAAAACCTGTGATGTGTCTAAATTTCCCCTTGAAGAATAAATGCAGACTCTCCACAAATATTTCTCAGCTCCTGATGACCACATCATCAGGTGCCCCTTTTCTTCCTCCCTCTCTCCTCCCTCCCTCTCTTCCTTCCTCCCTTCCTTTGTTCCTTTGTTCCTCCCTCTCTCCCTCTGTTCCTCCTTCTCTCCCTTCCTCCCTCCCTCCCTTCCTTCCTTCCTTCCTTCCTTCCTTCCTTCCTTCCTTCCTTCCTTCCTTCCCTACCCGGAAGAAACTGTTTGGCTCCTCTGTACTGATACATCAAGCCCCAGAATTGTGTATCTTGGTATTCCTGCTTCCCTGAAAGTATATTTGTGATGACCATCCAGCAGGGAAAGAGCACTTACCCCCAATCATTAGTGCCTTGACCAGGCACATAAATTCACACTTGGGTGCTACTAAACTAATGGTTATTTGGTTCCAGTATGAGCAGGCACCCACCACAGCATCAAGAATGTGACTAAGGACACAACTCACAAGGGTGTGTGTGTGTGATGATTAACATGTGTTTAAAGTTCAGAAACTGCCTTGCAATTGCTCTAGCCTGTAAGCTTTTTGTAACGTGTACCCTGTCAGCTAACTTGTTCAAGAAGGATGAGTTCTTGGAGTATTTGGGCTATTCTTAAAACTGCCTGCCTGGTCTTGTAAAAAGAGGTTTAACAGCCTCTGCGGTTCTTGTAAGATAATGGGTCAGAAGGCTAACTGCTGGCACTGCTTCTGCATGAGAACGCTTGCTTGCTCAAGATAACTGAGGAGTCTGCAAGACCTGCTACAAAAGTTAAGCTCTGCCTGCACATAGGCAGAAGTCATGTTAACTCAACCCCAAACTGTAACCTTGTGACTTTCGCCTTTATAAACCCCAGCTGGGGACACACTTTGAGAATCCTGAGTCTCAGGTGTGGTCCTGACCAGTGTCTAATAAAGCCTGTTCTTTGTTAAAATTTATTCATTGTCAGACTGGTGAATCTCTGAAAAACCCCAGATCCATAACAGCAGCAGCCACAGCCACCACAGCAGCAGATCTGCTGGGAGCTTGTTAAGAAGGCTCAGCTCCCATGGTCATGGGAAACCATCAAGGGTTTGGAGGGTGACTATGAGGATATGTCTCATTCTCACCAGATGTCTACAGGCATCTGCTGGCCACACCTCCTTCTGCTTCTCAGGGTGAGGAGTTAGTATCTTGGTAACCAGACCCTATTCCTCCAACATCTCTCTACTGAGTTGGTGAGTTGGACACTGCAAGGCTGACCTATCAGTGCGTGCCTCAGCCTCATCACAGCCACCTGCACTGAGGGGCCATCAACAGTGCTGGGTCTCCCCACCATTGCCACAGTTCTGGTCTCCCTTCCTTCATGCTGGTTCTGAGCTCAAAGCTTCAGACTAGGCCAATATTTCTTAAATCTCCCCAGCTGAGTCTAAGGGTATGACTCACTGTTCTCAAGGTCCTCAGAGCTGTGTTTCTTAGCAAAACACGGTCTCACAAGCCTGTGATGTCAACAATTGGAAAACTGAGAGAGGAGAATCAGAAATTCAAGGTCATCCTTAGCTACATATTGAACGTCAGGACAGCCAGGACCACATGAAATCCTGTTTGAAGAAAACAAACAAAAACCAACCAACCAACCAAAGAACTAAAACCTGCACATCTCAGACTTAGCTCACTGAGGGAGTCTTGTGCAAACCTGTATTTTTTTTCTACAGGGCAGGGCCAGGGCCAGCCAACGGTTCTGCATTTCTCTGCACTGTCAGGGGACATGCTGCCAACTGGCTCGCATTTTATGTGTCAAGAATTAAAAGCAGCCGTGGTCCTATTCAAGGACAGATACCAGAGTCACCAGGGAGCTTTGAAAATCAGCAGTGCCCATCCCTAGAGCCTCTGGTGTAATTGTGTTCAGGGAGGCCAGAACTGGGAATTGTAAAGCTTTCTAGATCAGTGTTTCTCAACGTGTGGGTCTTGAACTCTTTGGGGGTTGAATGGCCCTTTTAGAGGGGTCCCATACCAGATATTCTGCCTACCAGGTATTTATATTACAATTCACCACAGTGGCAAAATTACAGTGACGAAGTAGCAACAGCATAATTTTATGGTTGGGGGTCACCATGACATGAGGAAATGTCTTATATATTAAAAAAAAAAAAGTCATAGCATTTGGAAGGTTGAGAACCTCTGTGCTAGTTGATTGGAATGTGTAGCCAGTGGGGATGTGCAGAGGTAAAAACAACAACAACAACAAAAAGAACGGAATTGAGCAAGATGTAGTGCTTTGATGACGTGGATACCACACCATGTAGCCTTTTCCTCCAAACAGCTTCTTATTGCCTATTTCAGGCTTCTAACCATCCATGGAAGCGAGGTGTCCTTGAACCAACATTTATTAGGCCTCCACTAACCAGAAATTTTCATTAAACCTCTCCTGGCTAGTCTGGACTCTCAGGGCCAAAGGAGTCTCCAAGCCAAAGTTCTGCCCCCACTGGATAGTGGTTTGGATGAAGGAGAACCTGGGCCTAGCCAATCTTCTCCACTGTGGGCTGTGGTTCATCCTGGGGCTTGCCTCTCACTTCCTCCACCAACTCAGAGCAGAGGTCCATCTAGCTCTTCCTGCTCTACTGTGGGGCCAGAAGCCCTGTCCTCAGGGCTTTGTTTGTTTGTCCCTAGCAGCTGGACCAAATCCACAAGGCTGATTGGCAGTGCCCAGACTTCTCCCTGCGGCCCAGCTGTATACTCCCTCACACCATGCCTACTTTCCTGCTGGTCTCACTTTGAGACATATTATGCAGTCCTGCAGTCCCTGGTCAGCAGAGCCTCAGGGTAAAACACCCTCCAGGCTTCAGCATCTTCCCTCTTCTCTGCCACCGACAGTGAAGCCTCACCGGTTCTCCAGAGTAACTGTAGGCTCTGCTTACCGCCGTCTAGCTAACTGCCAGCCTCGTGTTGCGAGCCGTCTGCAGTCTCCGATTATTTTTAAAGCTGTCTTGACAAGTCAAAGATTCAATTTAATTCTTGAAAGTATTGTAAGCACTTGTAGGGATGGAGGAAGATGAAGCAATAGAACTCAGCTCTTGAAAGCAGGTTTCCTCGCTGATGGCACTGTTGGACTCAGTGCCACTAAGCTGATTAAAGGCAATCATAGGCAGAGAGGGTCAAATACCACTTCAGATGAATTGGAACCTCTAACTGCTGGGAATGCAGGAACTGAGGCTGGAGAGACTTGTTGGAACGCATTTATTCCCAGGTCCGGGATGGGAGATGCCTTTGAAGCTGTCTATCGGGTTTGATCCTCCCAGGCCCAGAGATAAAGACAAGATGAATGAGATGTTGTTAGCACTATTATTTACACTTAGAGGAGTTTACATCTGGGACCTGCCTTGTGAAGCGCTTCAGGCACTGCTGATTTAAATGAATTTCACTTCTCCCAGCAGCACTTCTGGGCAGAGGATGAAGGCTTCAGGTAGCCCTGGAAGTAATCACGGTTCCTTTAATTTACAGCGCTCATTAGGCAGGGCCTAATGGGAACGCACATCCCTTTAGAGTCTGGAAATTATATCTTTCTCAGAAACTCGAGTGACTCAGTGGCCTAGGATGGCGGGCTTTGCAGGATTTCTATGTTCTCCCCTATTGAAAGATTGTTTGTGGCAGAACATATGAGTGGGAGTCACGACCATCTTGGAGAAGAGGGACCAGATGAGGGGTCAGGACTATTCTTGGCTGGAGTCTTTCCTAGAGCGTTGGTATAAATGAAGCCTCTCTCGCCGGTGCTGTTGGGTCCCCTCGGAACGGCAGCTTCCTCACTGGGCAGACAGCAGCAGCCGCTGGAGCACTCACTGAGCCCAAGAGTGGTTGGGTCTTCTACTCAGTGTCTAGGCATGAGAATTTGCATTTCTCTCAAGTTTTCTGGGCGATGCTAGGCTACAGAAAATGTCTATCTTTGGGGGCATAGTTGGAGATCTGCTGAGGTAGTCTGCTGGGTCGCTAAGATGCAGGTTCTGAAAAGCTGGAGATAGTAATATTGTTCTTGATCAGCAGGTTCCTCTGACTCGTGTGTAGACTCTCTTTGCCGGGGCTGGTTTGGGCTGCCAGTCTGCATTTCTATCAAGAGCACTAGGTGCGTGCCATCTGCAGTCCTGGAACCCTGACTGGACACCGTGCCTTTGATGGCATGAACGTCACCAGTTGTACATGCACTCATTTGAGAGTACAGACGTGTGCAGCTCTGGGCAAATGCCTGTGTGCTCCGTGTTCAGCTCCAAGACACTTAGCTGTAACACCACTCCTCATGTACGCTCACTCCCTATACTTATCCCTTCCTTAATTTCCATTTCTACCTAGCCCTTGGCAACCTCTAAACTGTCCCGTATCTCTATTATTATGCTGCTTCATAAGTGCTATATAGGTGAAATTATATAGCACACATACTTTTGTTTCTGGCTTTCTTTATTTTAGTATAAATTTCTTGAGATTAGCCTAAACCTTTTTTCTTGAAGAATTTAAATAATTTAATTCAAATACAACTACATCATTTTCTTTCCTACGCCTTCCATGCTTGCCCCCTCCCTGTTCACGGCCCCTTCTTTAGCCATTGTTCTTACAGACACAAGTAAGTGAATAGTACTGCTTGTTGAGTCCA